TTTCTGGAGTTTTTTTATTTTAAAAAATTCTATATTAAAAATTCTTAAAAACCTTTGAAGATTTTTGAAGATTTCTCAAAATTTTTTTTTGGGTGGAGATCTTTAGAGATTTCTACCAAAAAAATTTTCTGATAGTGTTATGCTTATCTAGGAAGGAGTATCAATTGATCCAATTGCAAATCCACCCACAGTAAGGGTCTATAGCTATAATTCCAACACCAATAATGTCATTTGGCAAGAGTTTATAAATCCTCAAACAATTACTTCACAAGTTCTTACTGGATTTGTAATGAATATGCAAGATATCCTTTAATTATAGACAACTTTCTGAATATTCTTACAATAATTATTAGTATTTAGTTTTAATGGCCAAATGCTTGGAGAACTAATGAGATTTTTGTTCTTTAGGCTTTCATCCAAGGTGCACAATAGAATGAAATGAAATAAGCTTTTTTGCATAATGCCAATGGACATAATTTTTTTAAAAATTTATTAATAAACAGACCCTTTGGTCAAGTTTTACTCGTGAATCATTATCATTTTGCATTAATTGTATGAATTTGTTAATAATTTCATATGTTCAGGTTTAGAAGGTGAAAAATGAAAGATGTAGTAGTAATCAAAGTTTCCCACCGAGGCAATTATTATTACAATTGTTATCTGTTTATGGTTATTCTGATGTTTTATTACATGTCTTTGGAAGAATTGAAGATAATTTTCTTCAAAAACTGTGCTTGTGATAATTTGTTGATCTGTTAATTGAATTTACCCTTTCAGCCAAGGTAGAATTTTCATTACTAATTGTTGTGGAAGTTAAATATAAGAATTAGACTCTTTAATTTTTATTACTATTTCACAATTATGCATTAATAACGATTTTTCTGGATTTTTTTTTTTACGAAGTCAATAACTTGAAATCATTACATCTGCAAAAATTTAGGATTAGATTCTTGAACTGCGGGATGTTGCTAAGATTGGCTGTTGATCTTTTTATTCGCTTCGTGCAAGTGAAACAAAAAAAATAATCTAATCAAACCTAATAAGATAAATCTACCAAAATTTCAGGTATTACGCAGATTATATGTTATGTCAGATCCTATCACATTACTAATCGGATGAAGTAAAGGAATATGAACATATCTCAATGATTATTACCTATATACTCCCAATAATAACCACCAGTGTGAGTTTTATATCCTTTGCAAACTTTTTCAATATATGATCCATCAATTCCAGTTACACATTGTGCTTCAGATACAGATAGAAATTTTTGAGTAGAGCCATTATCGAAAATCTGTTTGACAGCATATCGACAACAATTACTCCAAAGGCTGAAGTGTACAGCATGCTGAGAATTTTCTTTCAGGGTACACTATTCAAGATTGGATGTATTATTGTTAGTAGAGTCATTATCAATATGATTTATGTATTCTTTGCCTTCTTCTTTTAGACAAAATGCTAATGCTACCAACTGATGAATATAATATTTTTCAACTCGGAGATAGAGATTAAACCATTATGCAACTGAACTCTTCCAAGAGATAAAACTTTAAATTTTTGTGAATCAACCTCTATTTCTTTCTATTTTTCATTAGGATTTTGTTCTATATAATCCTTATAATACATTCAATGCCAACCACCAGCAATATTTTGCTTTCTACTACAACATGCCAAAATATGAGATCTTGAAATTTTAAATGTAGAACCTGCAAGAACAACAGAATCCCAGATTTGAATGACATTTTCATCCAAAGTTTTCTGAACAATTTTTCTGGACCTGCTATAACTACAGTCTGGAAATACCTTACATTCAGCATTTTCTTTAGGATTTACTCATTTCAAATTATCTATTCGATTATTATATTTGATGCCATTAATGTGGTTAACATAAGGCTTATTTCTCAGATTAGGAATGAAGGCTCACACAACTAAAATATGAATCTTGATATGTGCACAAATATCATTAATAATTATTTTTATTGGCATATATTCATTTCTTTTGCAAGCATTTGGTATTAAAATCATATCTTGTTTGTTCTTGATACATCTGAGATTAGAAACTAATAAGTTCGCTACAGGAAACCAATATTTCATTCTGATTTTATTTATTGTAAATCCATTTTTTAATTTTAGCAAGGCTAGAGTCTTTCCAATAATCATGATCAATTTCAACACAAGAAACAATTTTCATTGGGACAAATATGATAATCTGAATTCTTTGTGTTGCTTAGATGCATAAGGTGCTTGTGAGAGAAGTGAACTTTGTTTTTCACAACTTCAGGTTATTGTTTTACTTTGTTCAGGACAAGTCATAGCATTTTCTTTCCATCTTTTACTTCATAGAAATTTTCCCATAACTTGAGGGATTTAACACAATATCATTTATTTTGTTCATGGTATGATTATAGGTAAATATTTTATTTTATTACAGAACACTGAGGCTTTGCCTCTATGAAAAAATTGCCTCAAATGCAACAACTGATACAAATAATAAATTTGTAAATATATATTGTAATTACATGATACAAATATAGACAAAAATTTAATTTTCTTCTGGTACAGGTTTTATGAGAATATGGATAATATTATGATCGAGATTTTTATCAAAATAATCATTGATTTTATTTTTCTGATACCATATTTATACATACCACAGGTTCTGGACAAAATGCATAAAGCTAATAGTTAACAACCTGGCATAAGAGATTAAATCTGATTCATAAGTATATTGACTGTTGATACATTAAAAATAGAAATTATATAATTGTTGGCTATACTAATTAAGAAATGGCAAAAGAAGTTGATAAAAATGTGAGAATATATTTTTGAAAGTTTAAGGAATTTCACAGTCCCTTAGAAGATAATCCAGGTGTGCTAATAAAAAAATTTATTGATAAGAGTAAAGAAATTTTAATTTACTGGTAAGAGACTACCATTATTTCTAAATGTCACTTTTTAACAATTGCATAAAATTTTCATCAAAAAATCAGCTAGTGACAATTGGTGCTCATGTTTAGAATCAAAAATAAAATAAGAAAAAATATTACAGATATATATATATTATAGCAAATAGATAGGTAAAAAATCTTTTATAGCCAGAATAATGCATTTTTTGCAATATTATTTAATAATATATATTTATTATTTTTCAATTCAAATTTTATCAAGTATCAAGTTTATTAAAATTTAAATAATATTAATCTTTGGCTTGCTTCATAAATTATTCACCAGATTTATAGAGATATTCAATTACTGCATTCTGAATAATTTTAGTTGAATTTATTTGTTTGGATAAAATTCTATTCAAGTGATTAACGATTTCATTCAGAGATTCCTCTGTTTCAAATCTAACTATCTCTTTTTATTTTTTTATAATAAGTTATTAAAGAAAGTTTCCTTAAGATTTTAATTATCTAAATTGATATTTAATGTTATAGCATATATTTTTATTTTCTCTAAATAATCATTTATGAATTGATTAAGTTGTATAGGTAGTGAAGTTCTTGTTTTAATAATTGATATATTAGTTTCATCAAGTAATATAAGAGTGTTATTAGAAAAATCTACTTTCATTGCATTTTCTTGAAACTATGAATGACCTAATATCAGTATAAATTTAAGATGAGATTTATTAGAAACAAAAATATCGGTAACTTTTACTTGTTTCCATTTAGGATCTTGAGACATAATTGAAATTTCTATTTTACAAATTATTCCTAATATATTGATCTTATTAATAAGATTATATACAGTAGTGGCAATAAATAATGACAATCAAGTGATCAAATAAAATTTACTCATTTTTTATTTTTAAAATC